TGGCTGGCATGTGGTGCTGGGGGATCGAACCGTGGTCCCTGTGCTTTGCCAAGCTTGTTCCAAGTAGGTGCCCCAGACCACTGAGCCATCTCACCAGCCCCGGAGACACCCGTTTAAATGAAACATGACTTAGTCGTGAGCCCACTTGTGCTGACTTGGTGCTAGCACACACTACAGGGATGCTGTTGGCAGAGGTGACATCCGGCCGCCATTGTGCCAATCCCCAGAGGGCAAGATGAGAACACCCTGGGCATGGAGGAGGCGTGCTGGCCTCAGTCCCTCCTGCTGTGTGTTGCAGATGCTCCACGGGCTTTCACCAGCCTGCCGGGTGGCACAGTGACAACCCATCTGAAAGACACAGTCTCCAGCCCAGGGTCTCACCCCTGAAACGGTTCCGGAAGTCCATCTCATTTCCCAGGATCCCTTGCACTACGGCATTGTGTCAGCTTCAGCTGTTCAAAAGATCAGAGAACTAGAGTTGATGGTTGCCAGAGACCCAGGTAAGAAACAAGGCATTTATATCTAATGAGCTGGAGAAAGTTATCATTCTTATAATGTTTAGTGGAAATGGCAAATGAGCTGCTAGGAGTGCAGCTCAAGGGTAGACGTCTTGCTGGGCAGGCACAAAGGTCCTGGGCTCCTGTCCCACAACCACAAAAAGAAAAAGGAAAAACAGCAGGATGTCAACTAAGTCTACAATATGATTTTTTAAAATGCTTATTGAATCCCAGAAAGTCTACAAGTGCATTCACCAAAACACCCCTATTTTTACTTTTAAAACAGAACACAAACTAGTAATAAAAAATTAGAAATGATACATAATTTCATTAAAAATAATATGAACTGGGCAGCATTTGTTATAGTGCATGGTGCTGCTTCAACTTAGTTGTTCAGATCACCAGATATACGCATGCAAAATTGGGAAAAGAGAGAAAAAAAGAGCTATAAGAAATTAAGAAAAGAAGGGCCAGGGGATGGCTCAGTGGAATAAGCGCTTGCCTGGCGAGCACAAGGGCCTGAGTTCAATCCCCGGTTCTGCCCCCAAAAAAAGAAATTAGAAAAGAGAAAGAAGGGAAAGAATGAAAAAAGGACAAAAAAATTAAGCATTAATTGCTCCTTCCCATAGACCAAAAAATCCATACAGTTATCCAAACTCTCCACCATATATGCATAGCTATCTCTCTCCTCCACTTCCTCTCCTGTCTGTCTTGTCATCTCAGTAATTCCTTCCTTTGGGACATGTTCATTCCCTTTTTACAGTATCCACTGTACCTTTCAGATTTTACTCTTTGGGTTCTTACACTAGAGAGAGAATACAATATTTATACATGCAGGTCTGATTTATTTCACTTCAGAGTATGAAGTTGTTTCCATTTACTGATGAAAGCCTCAAATTTATCCTTTTTTATAGCTGAGTAATACTCCATTGTGTAAGAATGCCACATCTTCTTTATCCATTTCTTAATTGATGGGCATTTGGGTTCCTTCCAAGATTTGGCCATGACGAATTGCACTGCAGTAAGCATGGGTGCGCCTGAGTCACTGCGGTGTGGTCCAAAACGCTCCTGGGGTGGCCTCTGGCAGGCGGCACTAGGGGTGATTTTTCTTCCTTCGCTTGCTTGTTCTAAGAGTCAACATTAATACATGAAGAAGTCTGAGGGGCGAGCTAATAAGCTGGGCACATTGCCCAGCACTAACTGGGCAAGAAAAGAGGGAGGGCGGCTCCAAGGTGGGCAGGAGCCACCATCTTTTAAAAATCCGTATATTGGAGGTAGGGGATGAGTCTCACTCACGGTGAGATTGCTTCTCTGGCATGCATGAGGCCCTGGGTTCGATCCCCAGCACTGTCAAAAAAAATTATCTGTGTATTTAACGATCTCCTCATTTTTCCCTTTTATGTCATTTATCTGAGGTTAAGCCTAAAATTGTTTTGTTTCATTTCATTCCATTTTGTTTCATCTGGGAAGCAGCCGTAGGTGTGGAGGGCTCATTACTTCTCCTTGGGCGAATCCCAGTAAGTAGGCCAGTGACAGCCTCGCAGCAGTTTGTAGCCAGCACGTGCATTCTATTTTGCATCGCAGGAAAAGGAGAGCCTTCCTTCACTTTGCAAGCCATTGGCTTCCTGGGCATGCGACAGGGCTCACAGGATCACCGCGGGCCTGCTGGTCCCAGTTAGGAGCAGGTTTGCTCCAAGCTGCTTGAGCACTTCTAACTCGTAGCTGCGTCTACGTTTAGGAGCTCAGCGTCTACCTGAGGCCACCAGCAGAGGGCGCTGTTTCATCCACTGTAGTGCGTGGCACAGTAGTTCCGTGGTGGTAGGTGTCCGGGAGAGCATTAGGGTCGACTTTGCTCATCGGTCTCCTAGCGATTGTACATCCCTCCCAGGGTTATAGCGAGTAATAGCAACAATAGCTGTCATCTAGGAAGATCCACTCTGTCAAACATCCTGCTAGAAGCACTTCCATGTTTCATTCTAAGTTTTCCCAATGGCTGAAATAGCTCTTACTACTTCACTCAACACATAAGAAAACTGAGGCAAACAAGGTTAAGAAACTTCTCCACCCACAAATCTAGTAGACAGCTGGGGCAGCACTTGACCCCAAACAGAGCTGCTTAGTGACTGTTGAGTGAGAACAATGTCTTGTAGAGTACTGGAGTAGACAGCCTGGGGGTCCTCTAGGGGTGACCTCATAGTCAATAACCCACCAGAACAGAACAGCCTTAGAAATGGGTGCTTCTCGCTCCTGGTAACAGGACTGGCATTTGCTAAGCTTCCTGCTAAACCGCTGGGCACAGCTCTTTGCCTGATTTGTTCATTTGTTCTGCAGAAAATATGGCTTCCTTTACATACAAACACGCAGTAAACATGGACCTGCACCCACCACAGACATACCTGGGAGAATGTTCTTGTGGAAGCTATCCATAGTCACTTCCATGGCTGAGCTCCTGGGTGGGTGCTTTACATTTTTTCCACAATATTTTCTTCCTCACAAGTGGTCTTACCCAAGCTGGTGGATCTCCCACAAGGCCCAGAAGCATGCGGGAGAATGAATTACTCTACCACGAGATTAAGCTTCAAAAAGAGAACTGGGAAGTAAATTTACTACCCAAGTCCACGCACCCATTGCTAAATAAGAATGATCTGAGAGGTCAGACGCAACGCACTCGCCTGTCCAGGTTCCTGCAGTCGGGGGGCCAAGGCCGAGGCTCGAGCCGCACGCTCAGGCAGATTCACAGCTGCCTGGAAGCACCAGCTTCATCTACTAAGGGCTCCCGTGAATCCTCAAGAACAAGAAATGGTTTTGTTTCCCACTCTATTAAATAAGGACAAGATTAACGACAGCGTGGTTGTCCTGGGCATTGCTTACCGGGTGTGGTAATGGGACCAGTGAGACATTTTTAAAGAACATTACTTTGCATTTCAGTGCCTGGAGCAGAGAGAGAGAGAGAGAGAGAGAGAGAGAGAGAGAGAGAGAGAGACAGGCAGGCACATATATATATGCACTTATTATAAAAATCATAAATGTACATACAGCTTCCAGTTGATGAAATTCTTTGTCCCTTCTCTCCACT